ATTCTGAGGCCCTTACTTAGCCATCAGCTCAGCATATGTTGTTCATTGCCTCCTTCATGGTGGGAATACAAAGATGATTGCAATAGTTTCTACCTTGGAGTCTTACAATCTTGTAGGCAAAACCGAATGTCAAAAATAAATGCAATAAAGGCTTTTATTTGTTGTAACAGTGAGACTGAGGAAAATGATGTCATTGGTCCACATCCTAAATGGTATAACTCAACCAAACAAGATGCCTTTGCTAGGGCCCATTTCCTGGAAGAAGAAGCAACTGAGGCTTGTATATTGTGCAGGGCTGTCCAGGTTATTTACTGCACAAGGGGTTCCCAGCTGAGAGGGACGTGGAGACCATCTTGCTCTTTACTGGCTAACCATGAGGGTCTGTGTCTACTCAGAGGAAGCGAGATGATTTCCGAATTCAGACAAAGTCGTCTTTGAGCTCCCGTTGCCTCTGTGACCACCTGCTAGAAAAGTTTTCTTGCGAGTATTTCATTTTTTTCACATCAACTAGAAGTAGTCTGGCAAGTGTCATTCTTGCTCGGGGTCCCCAGGCGAGCAAAATGGTAGAGCCAGGCTTCTGCTCTGTTTTCCTTCCCGTGTCTTGCTGACCTTGATGACTGCTGAAGGCCATCCCGGTGGAGCCCTGTCCATCCCCAGACCTGTCCTCTTTCCATGCCAGAGGAGGAAGCTCAGGCATCCAAGGGAACAGAGTGCCCTAATGCTGCCTGGCCCCCCTGGCCCGCTGCACATCTCACTGCAGCTAATGAATTGCTAATACAATTTTCTAGATAATTTTATTTCCATACTCCCACATTTTAATGTGTTTCCAAAAGCTAGCATTTATTTGCTTAATCTCCCAGTGTAATAGAATCTGCCCCGACGTATCATACATGCGAACAATCAGCTAGGCAAAGACAACAGCAAATTGTTTAATAACTCAAATTGCGTCTCTAGATTTTTAACTTGCATGCACCAGTAACTTTTCTTCTGTCTCATCCGCTTCTCCCTCCATCCTTTTCTGATTTCCTTTTTTAACAAATGCTTTTCAATTATCGAGACTGTTGGTCTCCAAGCACCAGAATAGAAAAGTGGATACAGGGCTTCTGAACCGCCTCCTCTTCCCCCTAGCCCTTGGTTGGTGGGTAGTTGGCCAAGGAGAGCTTCCTGTGCCTTTTGTGATGTCTCAGAAAGGAGGAAGACCACTGAAGGGACAATGTAGCATTTCCTTTCCAACTGGTTATCATACAAGTTCAAACCCTTTGACAAGGTATGGAGCTGGCCATCTGGGACTTTGTGGATACTATCCTTCACTGCTGAAGCCCAGGCCAAGTCCTGTTGTGACACCCTCCTAAGATTTCATCCAACTCCACCCCAGCCTTGACAGGTGAGGACCAAATGACAGCGCCATGCTGTCATTTGGTCCTCACTTGTCACAGCAAAGTGAGCTCCCTGCTTCCAGCTACCTGCACCTGCTGTTGGTTCCTTGCTGTGTTCCAGGGGATCGTGCTCCAGGGCGAATAGTAGAGGCTTGCTCTCCTCTCTTAAGTCTGTTTGGGTGGCCATAACACACTGCTGTAGCTTTGGGAGATTTATAAAGAAAGGAATTTATTCCTCATGGTCCTGGAGATCAGGTCTGAGATCAGATTCTGGAGAGGCCTTCTTCCTGTTTGCAGACTTAGGACTTCTTGCCATGTCCTTGTGATGGGAGGGAGGCAAGCTTTCTGGAGTCCTTTATGCACTAATCCCATTCTCCAGGACTCAGTTCTCATAATGAAACACCTCCTGTAGGCCCAGCCTTCTGATACATCACTTTACAGTCTAGATTTCCATGTGTACACTGAGGGGGCACAAACCTGCCGACCATGGCCACCCCTTTCCTTCTGTGGCCCTGCATTGCCTTTAGAGTGACGTCTACACAGTCCCACTGGTCACGCAGTCACCTGTGATCTGACCCCTAATGTAGCTCCATCCCCAGGGCCTGGCTGCTATGCCAGCTGCTCTGAAATTTGCCTGTGGTGTTTCTTTAGCAAGGCCGTAATACTCCACCACCCAGCCCTTGGCTTCTCAGATATTCTCCATTCTCACAGGTGACTCAGAATCTTCTGTGAAACCCACTTGGTCACCTTTTGTGTCTTCTGAATGGTTGTTGACTCACCAGTGTCTCCCTTGTCTGAGACTCAATCTCCCTGCCCAGTCTCAGCCTTTCCCTGGTCACCTAATGTAGTGCCCACCGTTGCTAATGGGCCAGTAAGTCAGATAAATGGCAGAAATGTGGTTTCAGTTTGTTCTGAGAGCAAGGGTCAACACCAAGGGACCTTGGGAGAGCAAGGTGGGTAGAATGCTGCAGGACCCTTGGTTGGCACTGCTGGGTGGTCCCAACCACAGACCACCTCTGGGCCTGGGCTTTGGGCACGCGATGTCCTGCTGGGGTGCCCTCTATGCTCCTATGCTTGCATGCTGCTGCTGGTGGTGACGGTAGGGGGCGCTCTTGGAGGAGGCCTAGGAGAAGTCTTGCCTCTCAAAGGGCATGGCTTGTTGGGAAGCATGCTGCCTGATCTAAGGCAGCTGCTTGAACACCTGGCTGAATCCGGTTTCTATGGGATGGGAGATAAGGACAGAGAGGGATGCTGGTGCTAGAAACTCTCAGGTGGCAGAGAGACTCTACTCCTACGAATGTTGACTGGGCTGATGCGGACACGGAAGGGGCTCCCTGTCCACTAATGTCCTGCTAGACTACTTCCTTCTGTGTTGTCCCTTCCATCATTGGAGCTGAGTATCCCAGTCAGTTCTTCCCAGAGATTTTGCTCGCTCTCCTGGGGTTGAGGTTGAAGACTCACAAAAGCTGTGCCTTGGACCAGCTCCTGTCTACCCTTCATGGCCCCGAGCTTTCCAGCATTTCTGGGGAAAGCCCTGGGTGTGTTGGTGCTTGTTTCTTACTGTCATTAGACATCTGTTACAGGAGAAGCCCAGACAGACAGGGGACCAGTCCGGAGGAACATTGGACCCAGTACCATAGTTTCTAAAATCAACAGACTAGGTAGATAGAGCACAACTCTGTCTTTCTTACCATGAGACCTTAGACTAGTTATTGAATCTCTGTGTTTTCCCATGTGTAGAAAGTAGGATAAAAATGCCTGTCTTTAAACGTGATGACAACGTAAATCCCATAGCACCATGCCTGTGTAGTTCTTCCCTTCTGATCTTTGAAGACCAGGAGTAAATTCAGGTCCTAGCCGTGTATTCCTGTGTCCTCCCTAGTCTGCTCTGCCTTCTGAGCGCTGGCCTGATGGGACATGGCTGCAGCGTGCTGTTGGCTGTGGGTACCTGGACTCCAGTGTCTGAGCAGGGACGGGCCTTAGTGAGTGTGAGAGGCAGGAGAGTGCAGCGTGAGAGGGTTAGTGGCTGTATTTCCACTAGTCCATCCCAAACCCAGCCCCGAGTAGGGTGAGATGGCCAGAGCCACGTTTTCCATTCACTGTCCGCGTTGCTGAGCCACGAAGGAAGCGAGATTCTTCGTGGTGCCCTTTCTCTTCCCATCACCTTGACTCCATGCCAAGCAGTCCACGCTTCTATCAGCCAAGGCTCCACTCTCCTTCCGGCTTGGTTACCCACTGCAGGGCATCCCCCAGATGCCAGCAAGGATGAGCAGGGGGCGCTGCTGTTCTTCAGGAACCCAAATTCAGAACAGTGGACAGGGGGCTCCCGTTAAGATGGCGAAGTGGATTAGATGCCGCTCCGTAGGGGCCCCTGGGCTCAAGGCCACGGCTGCAGAGCAGCATCAGGAAGGGTTGGGAATGAGCAGGGACACAGGCTGTGTCTGGAGCACTGCGGTGCCGGGGCAGCCGCGGGAAAGACAGAAGGGAAGGAACATGTCTGTTACTCACCAGCTGGAAAGTCCCTGACAGTTCATTGTCCCTGTGGCTTAGGCCGAAACCTAAAGACCTTAACACGGTGCTCAGGACCCCACATGACCCAGCCCCTGCGTCTCCCTTTAGCTTCCTTCTAACGCTCTTCCTGCTTCCCCAGCCGTGCTGTGCTAATCTGATGACCCAGCAAGTTTCTTTCCAACTCTGAGTGTCACAGATATTATCCTGTCACAAAAGAGTGCTTTCCCATTGGCCTAGTGAGGCATCTATGATCAGGGCAGGGACTTTGTGTGGTCTTCTGTGTTTATATCCCCAGTGCCACAAAGAGAGTGACTTAGGGATGCTGTCGCAATAATATTTGTTGAATGAATGAATGGACTCAAGAGTCATGCTTTGACTGAGTGGGGTAACACATGCCTGTAATCTCAGAACATGGGAGGCTGAGACAGGAGGGTCTCTGAGAGTTCAAGGCCAGCCCGGGTTACATAGTGAGACTCTGCCTTAAAAACAAAACAAAAACAACAACATAAAAAAAAAAAATAAACTTGGGGCTTGGGGATTTAGCTCAGGGGCATAAGCGCCTGCCTTGCAAGCAGGCAGTCGTGAGTTCGATCCCTGGTACCAATAAAAAGGAAAAAGGGAAAAAAAAAAAAAAACTTAATGTTTTAATGACTGGAGAAATGGTTAAAAGAATAAGATACGAAGCTACCTTTAGAAAAGGATTCAAATCCAGACTGCTTGGCTTGAATCCCAGAGAGACTGCTGCTCTTGACCTCCGTGGAACTTTGAACAGGTTACTAGATCTCTTTGTGCCTCAATGTCCTCATCTGAAGGATGAGGATGATAGCGACAACCTTCTGAAGTAATGGTTTTAGTTTTGTTCGTACTATATTACGATCTTTGCTATCGTTGGTCCTTGCAGAGTCAAAGTCCTCTGATTCCGACCTGTCTGTCTCGCACAAGTCCGTAGTCCCATCAGGGAAGGGTGCCTGGCAACGGCTGTTGGAGCACAGACCAGCCACACCGTGTGGCCTGAGCGCCTCTGATTTGCCCTTGAGACTGGGGGCGCTTGTCCTGACGTCGGGCCAGATGGGTAAAGAATCAGCTCCCGAGCTCTCTCTGTTGTCTCCACAGGCACGGACATGGCTGTCTTCTGCCTGCTGTGTGGGAAGCGCTTCCAGGCACAGAGCGCGCTGCAGCAGCACATGGAGGTGCACGCGGGTGTGCGCAGCTACATCTGCAGCGAGTGCAACCGCACCTTCCCCAGCCACACTGCCCTCAAGCGTCACCTGCGCTCACACACAGGTAGGCCAGCCCAGTGACGGTGGCTCGGTGGCTCCGGGTCTCTGGTAGCCCGTGTCTAAACTGACCTCCAGATATGCAAAGCAGAGGTGCCAGACTGAGCTCCGGGGTGGTCACGCGGGGTTTCCAGTAATGCAGAGAAATGTTTACAGTCCTGCCAGTCTTGCACTGTGCACGGTTGGTTCTCAGCTTTCCTGCTCAACATAGAGCAGGGGTGTTAATTTTTCATGCAGACTCTTGGGTCCCATGCTCAGAAACTTTGACTCGCTGAGTCCAAACCTCAGCACTGTTATAAGTTTTCTTAAGGGATTCTGACCTAGATAGAACTAAGATGCATTCGGAGGACAGATGACTTTCTGGGTCTCTTAACTCTTTAGGGCCTTACCATGCCTGCTGTCTGGAGGCCACACACACACTTTTGAACTCAGCTTTTAACCCTTGAGGACACATTAAACAAGCCACCCTTCTTTCTCCATAATAGCAGAAGGTCTCACCTTTGGACTCAGTATTATTTAGGGGAAACCGTGAGGATATTTAAATAATGAGCCATGCTATATCCCTGCACAGCCAGGTCTGTGAGATGGATGAGAGGGGATGCCATGCAGGGAGACAGGGCCAAGTGCCCAAGTTCTGGCATATCACTACTCCTAGCATCTAGGTCTTGAGGGGGGACAGTTGGTGTCTGAGGGCCAAGGGCATTTGCCTTCTTGAGAAGCCCTTGGTCTCCGCTAACAGGGGAATAGATGACCTAAATCCCTTCCCTCCTAATGAGAAAAAATGGGGTCTTGGCTGACTGTATATGGGTAAAGGAATGCACACTTCTGAGTCTGAGTGTGTGTTCCATCCTGAATTGGGAGAGGAATGGGTCAGGTCTCTGTGTGTGGTGAGGTGCATGCTCGCCCTGCTGGACAGGGTATAAAAGCTCCACATGCCTCCCAGAGAGATGCTAAGACATCCCGCCAATGCCTGCACACACACACACCTCTTCTTATTGTTTTCTCTTTTTTTAGACAGAGTGTTTGTTGCTGTGCAGTTCAGATTGACCTTGAACTCACTATGGCACCCAGGCTGACCTCAAACTCTCACAGTCCTCCTGCCTCAGCCTCCCAAGTGCTAGGATTACAGGCATGCACCACCATGCCCAGCTTCTCTTTTTCATTCTTTGAGAGACTTGTCACAGCTCAGGCATTGACTGTGAGATCAGGTTTTATGTGGTGGCAGGTTCTGCTGAACGAGGAAAGGCTTGGCTGTCACAGAGCGTCCTGACAGCAGTGGCATCCTCACCAAGGAGCCTGCCCGGGCCTTCACTGCTGGATGCCATTCTGTTCCAAGCAGCACCGTATTTGCCTAGAATTACTTAGCATTGCTGAGGGGGTGGAGGGTAGAGTCCAGTAAGGAGGAAGGGTCAGGGAGAAGAGCTGTCTCTAAAGTGACTGCATGCGTACACCTTCCTGCCGGAATCCTCCTCGAGTCCCCAACATCAGCCCTGTGAAAGATGGCGAGCTCCCGTTCAGCTACTTCTGAGCGTGCACTGGGTTGGATCACTTGGCTTCATGTGACCTGAAAGATTCCAGGTCTACTGAGTCACTCAGGAGGCCCCCTGCTTTGCCTGTGCCACCTTCTAGGAGCTCAGCTACCCAAATGTCAATCCTGCTTTACCCTTTGTCAATCTTGGCTCGATCTGATGGGCAGGGTCAGAGTTGGGGAGAAGCCCTTGCTTATGCTAGGAGTCACGGAACATGTGTGCAGCCTGTGTGTGTGTACACACACACACACACACACACATTTTCACACTGGCCACACACAGGCGCTGAACATCCCCTACACAATGCCTCATTAATATTCTGTTGTTCTTGGCCCATTTGCTGCTGGGGCTGGGTGTTCAGCATCAGCAGCTGTGTTTGGTAGGTTAGTCCAGCCTTGCTCTTGGCATTGATGGATCCCTGATTCACACAGCTCATCATGTAATAAACTCTCAGCTGTGCTGCAGGGAGGGGCCGGGAGGGAGGGGCCTGAGGAACCCAGGGCCTGGGGCTGGGGTGAGGAGAGGCACACTGGGCTTGGTCAGAGCCAGGGATAGCAGGTGATGACGACCTGGGGAAAGGGGGGACCACAGGTGCACTGGGTAGGCCAGAGGGGCTCTAATTAGTCTCGTTTGTCCTGTACTTAATGTCAAGCTCATTAACAAGTCTACGGAGTTAATCAACATACCACAAATTGGATTTAGAGTCCTGCCGCCAGTTTTGTGTACATTATAGCCACACTGACATGACTAACACGTAGGGTGAGGGTTGTTCTCGGGGTGCGTCTCAGGCTTCGAAGTCTGGGTGTATGTGTGTGTATTGATGCCTGGTCTTTCTTTTTTCCTTTTAAATTCTTTTTGTTCCTTTCCCTGGACAGACTGAAGAGAGTTCCTATTTAGACTCATTTAACATGTGATCCACTTCATAATGATATTCATAAAAATCTGATCAAACAAACCCCTCTGAAGTCTTCTAAAGTCTCAGGGTCCCCCTCTGGAGGCAAAAGCAGGCACAGGCAGCTGTCCCCGTCCCCCCTCCCCACCTTCCACCGCCCCCCAGCCCTGGGCTGGGCGGCTGCCGATGTACGTTTTAATTACCAGCTCTGGCTGAAGTCTCATGTGCCCCTTGCTTTATTTATTTATTTATATCTTAATGAGGATACTGAATCTTTGATTAAAGCCGTAATCATTGCCGATTTGGTAAGGAGGGGGAGTTGGATGTCAGATGGGCCACTTGTGCAGACACAGGGGAAAGTGGCACATTGTGGGGGGACATACAGACTCACGGGCAGTTAGTGCCAGCTCTGCATGAGCCTTCATTTCCCTTGGGTCCAATGAGGCTGGGGCTGGGAGTGGGCAATCCGTGGATCCCTGGCAGCAGGAAGATAAGGCTTCTGGTTTTCCGATCAGAGGACCCTGGGACTCAGTCCGCTGCCACATCTGTGTGTGAGGATTTAGCTGCCAGACATGCCCCGGAGCCAGCAGCACCATAGATTGGTGAGAACTACAGTGAGATGGCCCCGCTCTTGTAGCTCCCTGGTGGAACTGCCCCCCCAGCCCCACGGTCTCCATGCATCTTGCAAATCTTCCACCCGTGAGAGAGTCAGCCAGTGAACAAACCCCAGCATCCACTCCCCACAGAGCCTTAAAAACCCTTCAGAGCCATCAGAAGAGATGAGAATTTATGTGGGGACAGGGGCGTGCATTCGAGGTGGGGGGAGGTTTGGTAAGCAGCCCGCGGAGGGGAGAGAGGAGAGAGTAAAATATCATTTTAAAGAGGAAGTGAAGGCATAGGCATGCGAGTCTATAAGGAGAAGGACAATTTATGCCCAGGCACGAGCACAGTTTGACATGGGGATAATGAAAAAACGTAGGTCATTGTGGATGACTTAAACCTTCAGCAGCTGAAGAAAATGTATGAAATGCAGAGGACATTACACGGTTGGCAGCCCCGCACATCTGCAGAGGGACAAGTGAAATACAGTGGGCCATTCTTTACCATAAACTGTGGTTGTTGGAGACGCAGCCCAGAGAAATTGTAATTACAGTGACAAGACGAATCAGCGATATTTAAATATTCATGAACAAAGTCTGGGGTGATCAATCTATCTTTATTGTCTTCGCCTTCAGTCCTGTAATAAATAAGTCGCTGAAGTCCTCACCTATCATCCCCTGAAACCCCACTTTGGGGGTACAATGCACACCCCTGCCTCTCACCTTCGGGGCGTTTGGGAGTGGGATGCTCAGAAAGGAGGGTACAGATTCCTCATTGAATGACCTGCCTGTTTAATGACTGCTCAGGTTGGGGGTGCTGTTTGGACTGACGACCCGGTGCTAAGACTTGTGGACCCCCCAGTGCACCTTGTTTATATAGTACTGTAATTTTTGCTGATTGCACTGTAAAATACAGTACCGAAGTTTATGCTCTGTTATACACTTTAGTACTGCAGTGTAAGAGCTATGCAAATGAAAGCAAAGTCATCAAGTTAGAGTTTCCCGTGACCACATTTTTGGTTCTGAATATTGTAATGTGTGTGCTATATGCAGTTGCTCATCTAGTGACCAATTGGTTTAACACCTTAGTCACAGGAATGGAACTCTCACAGAAGAGGCATGTCCTTACTGGGCATAGATTCCAGTTGAGGAAAGACAATTCTCCCTAAGCTTAATATACTCAACATTTCCTGAGAGTCTGTTCTGGGTCCTTCCTGAGCTATACACTTGGGCTACAGGGCTGGCTGAGGCTCACTTCTTACACTAGAGGCTCTTCTATTTTAGAGGCATAGTGTCTACACTGGGAGATACAACAGAGTGTGTCAGTTAGCAATTGAAAAAGTACCGAGGGTCCAGACACAGGACCCACCCCACAAGTCAATGGCAATGTAGCCACTAATTGCGTGGCTGGGTCAAGTATCTCTAACTCATTTTTCTCATCTGTAAAATGAGAATTATACCTTTCTTTAAGATAGCTGTCATGATTATGTGATATGATCCATGTATTGTTCTTAGCATAATAGCAAGTGTTCGGCAAATACAGGACATTTTAATGGAAATGTTTCATTAAAGTTGCACTACTAATAAGTGAATAAAATGCTGGATGTTTCTTCTGTTTGGAACACAGAAGAAAGTGTAACTCATTCTTCCTAGGAGACTCAAAGGAAGCTTCCCTACCAGGGTGAGCTGGGCTTTGAAGGATGACCAGGAGTTCTTTGGGGAGAGAAGAGGAGAGGAAGCTGAGTTAGTGTGAGAGGGGGAAGGGCAGAAAGTGCTTGGGCACAGTGAAAAGTTCCCCAAACTGGAGGGATGTTTGGAGGGTCGGGGACTCGAGCTAGAGTGATGCCTCGCCCTGAGCCAGGGGAAAGGAGAACGGATGATGAGAGGAGGCAGCAGTGCAAGGCCGGAGCCTGACCGCCCGTGTCCCCACAGGTGACCACCCGTACGAGTGTGAGTTCTGTGGCAGTTGCTTCCGGGATGAGAGCACACTCAAGAGCCACAAGCGCATCCACACCGGAGAGAAGCCCTACGAGTGCAACGGCTGTGGCAAGAAGTTCAGCCTCAAGCACCAGCTGGAGACGCACTATAGGGTGCACACAGGTACCGAAGGCCAGTGAGGGGCCTGGGTGGGGCCGGGGAGCAGAGGGTTCCCCCAAAGAACCCAAGTGAGGGGTGGTCCAAGGCTGAACCAGGAGGAAGAGTTGCTGAGGCCTCAATGCCGTCTCTACCCCTGGCCCCCACCCCTGAGACCAAGGCAGACAAGACCAATCGATCACATCACGCTTTACCAGGGCCCAGGTCAGGCCCTGAGGCAGCCACACCAATGTCAGGGCTGACATGCCAGGTGATGTCTATTTATGAGTTCTGATTCAGGGTTAAATTGCCCAGATTAGCTGAAAGTGAAGATTAGCGCAGTTCTGTGTTGCTGGAGGATTAGAGGAAGAATGAGAGTACATTGAATTAGGTTATGATATGTTAGATCAGGTGCAGTTCTGAGATTAGAGAAGCAGATGTATTTAATAATCCCTTGACGTGTGCAGCGTCGTAGCATTTCAGAGTACCTTGACATTCCTTTCTGCTTGAAACGTGAGCAACTGTTTTCCTTGGGGTCTGAGGACAGACAATGGAAGTGTCCAGACTTCCAGGAATCTCTGCGCAGGGACCGTGGGGGGAGTCCTGGGGCAGGCTTGTACTTGCTTGTGAAAGCCTATTTTTTTCCAGTTTCAAATTCAGTGGTATCATCTTCATTGCCTAAAATTGACTATGGACATGCGTGGCGTAGTGGTAGACAAGTACTTCAGGTCAGGGGTTTTTGGACAGCCACTTTTTAAGCACTGCCAGCACACTGTCCGTCTAGCAGAGAGGTAGATGTCAGCCTCGGAGGTTGAGAGCTGGCAGAACCTGGCAAACTGGGAAGCCCTCTCTGATCAGGGGAGACAGAGATCCTGTCTAAGAAAAGGGGAAGAGATGGCCTCAGGCAGGTCCTTCTGGCTTAGGGCAAAGTGTGTTTGGAGGTGTGCATTGTCCAAGCTGTTTCCTTTCCTCCATCCAGCTTGGGGTCGCAGGGAGAGGACGGTGTGCTCACTGCTGAGCACAAGTGACTCAGAGGATTTCCCAGGGCCCTGGGGTTTCCTTAACCCCTTGTTGGGGATGTGACCTGGCCAGTGGATCATTAAATGCATTGGCAGTGACTATTGCAAATAGCTGGTCGATAGTTAGATCACTTTGGCTGTTCATTACTCCATTATTTGCTGGGGCCTCTGCATGGAGGAGTATTGATAGTGAGATGGCGGGCCAGTTAATTACTGTATCGAAACGAGGTTCCCTTACATCCTCTGCTCAGCTGCAGGAAACATCAGTGGAGGGGAAATTGGGGTGGGGTAACAGGCTAGGGTATGGCTGTGTCCTCCAGTTCTTGCCCCGAAAGGGAAGGTAGGGTCCAGTACAGTTTCCTAGCACTTTAACAGGCTAGATTTCCCAGGCGTAGGGCGTGCAAAGAACTGGGGTCCCTGAATTTCTCCCACCCCTGCTCCTTAACATCTGTAGCCCTAGAAGGACTGTCTACTCCCTGTTCCTACTGGGTGACCTGAGTGAGGAACCCTCCCCAAGGACTTTCAGGACCTCAGCGTTCCCTTTTGAGACATTTATGAAGGCAAGGATCCTGGGCTTTGGGAAAGTTAAGGATAGTGAGGCAGGGGTTAAGGATGGTGGGCAGCACACTCTCGTAGCCCCTAGACACACTTGGCTGTTCACATCCGGCACAGTGACATGCAGCAAAGAGCACAGCACCCCATTGCAGTAGCCACATTTGTGGCTGTATGTAGCCGGTAGCTGCCATGTTAGATGATGTGTCCATCATGTTGGAAGTTGTGTTGGAGAACGCTGGACTGGAGAGATGAGACTCTCTGACATGTCCGAGGGTGGCCCAAGGCCCTCACTGTCCTCTCCCTTTGTCCTCACTCTCCTCTGCCCTGTCCACCCCCTCCCTAGGTGAGAAGCCCTTTGAGTGCAAGCTGTGCCACCAGCGCTCCCGGGACTACTCGGCCATGATCAAGCACCTGAGAACACACAATGGCGCCTCGCCCTACCAGTGCACCATCTGCACGGAGTACTGCCCCAGCCTGTCCTCCATGCAGAAGCACATGAAGGGCCACAAGCCCGAGGAGATCCCGCCCGACTGGAGGATAGAGAAGACGTACCTCTACCTGTGCTACGTGTGACGGGAGCGAGAGCCAGGAAAGACAAGTCAGAGCGAGACGAAGTCGAGGGAGGACTGTGCAAAGGAAAAAAACGATAAAAAGAGAAAAAGAAAAGAAAAAGAAAATGAGAGAGAAGGGAAAGGAAACCTCATCACTATTTGGCGTTTGATTCTCTCTAGGGCTCTGGGTGACCTGGATACCAAGCCACTGTCCTTTCCCAGGGGGCCTCTGCCCTCCGTGGAGGCTGGAGGCTCGCTTGGTTTTCAGGGGGTGTTAGAGGTGGTTTCATTCACTTCCATGGTGGCATATTTTTCTCCTCCCTCCACCCAAACCCTCCATCTGTGTCTAAAATCAGGGCTGGGAAGCGCATGGGAAAACCTGGTCAGAGCCACCTTCTGGCATTGTCCCCCGTCGCCTCCTCAGAAGATGGAGGGAGGGGAGCAGAGGGGCCCAGAGGGTGGGGGCCCCTGGTAATGCTGGCCCAGATGGTGGGGGGCCCCTGGTAAGGCAGCTCCTGTGTTCTGGGGGCTGAGAAGGCTCTCTCCTCACCACTCTGTTGCTTTCCTGTGCCCTGCCACATTGGGCGCCCCTCAAGGTCTCTGAGAGCCTCCTAGGTCTCCCCCGGCTTGCTCCCTTTGGCTGCTGCCCTCCAGGATTTAGGAGCTCCCAGCCCCTTAGAGATCTGGGCAGTGTCTCCTTCCTGCTCTGGTTCCTCATGGGACAGCTGCGACCTGCTCCAGAGCCACTTCCTCCCCTTGGCTTTTTGAGTACTTAGAACAAAATACATTGGGTATCTACCTGGGCCATCCCCCACCTTGATCGAGATTCCTGATGAGCTGTTTCTGCTTCCAAAATGGAAAAACATGACACCTAAATATGTTCCATCCCACCAGCCAAACAAACACAGACTCCTACAACCTTTAGTCCCCAGGGGAAGGGATCCGTGAAAGGGCTCCTCATCCAAGGGAGAGATACAGATAGCCTTTGCAGAGGTGCCCACATCCGGAGGAGGGAACAGACACCCGCCCCCAGCCCAGGGAGGGGGAGCTGGCCAGGGGAGGAACTTGCTGTCATGCTGGGGACCCTTTCAAGTGCAGGGCTTAGGGAACCCCAGACCCCGTGAGCCCAGCAGGAGAGCCGAGGCCCAGGCAGCAGCCCTACAGGGTTGCTGGCTCACAGGTGCCTGGTCCACAGCGGGGAGGAGGAAGAAACTGAAAGCGCTTTGGCCTTGTGTGTGTCTTGCTTATTTTCTGTGTCCTCTGTTAGCACATTGTACTTGAATTACCTCAGTTTTTTTTGTGACCTCATGAGCTTTTTAACCCTATTATCTTTTTTTTTTTTTTTGGTAAGGGGTTGGAGGAATGGGGAGGGTATTCTCTTTTGTGTTTTGTGTAAATTAATAGCTAGCTTTGGATGTCAGCTGGCCAAGGCCCCGCCATCACCCTGGTCACCAGCCTCCTGGCTGCACGTTGCTGGCAGGAGTGTAATACTCAGGATTTATGTATGAGGGCCAGGGAGGCTGGGGGTGGGTCAGGGGGACGGTGTTAGGGTCTCACTGCCTCCCCAGGGCACGCAGAAGTCACTGTTGGTTCTGTCCAGAGCTCAAACCGTCTGCGCCCAGCATGAGTTCAGCCTGACTGAAAGATGCTAGAGCCCACCCACCGTCCTCACAGCTCGTGGGTCATTCAGGCTGGGGGCCGAAGTGGCTGGATCCCTGTAGACTCCGTGGTCCCGCTTCTGTGTGCACGGTCATTGCCAAAAGCAGTGTAAGCAGTGTATGGCGGGTTGGGGTGGCCCAGCCTTGGTTTTGTTGTGTTGGGGGGGGTTATTTTTCTTAAAGCTACCTCTTATGTTTGTTCACTTACTCTTCTGTTCTCGTGTCTCCCCTCTACCGCTCTGCTCCCTAATCCCACCCGCCTCTCGATTTTTGGAAAGCACATTTGTAATACTTGTGTTGGCTTTGGGATGGGCCCTGTGTTTCATCTCATGGTTTATGTGTAAGAGCTGTTTTTTTTTTTCCTCTTTCCTTTTTCTCTCTCAGAAGGTTGCGGCTGCAGTGTGATCTTAGGTTTTTAAGAGGTGGCGAAGGGAAGCGGTTTTGGAGAGAAAGGTTGCGAGGTGTCCGGGGAAGTCAGAGGGATGGTGCTGCTGTGATCACCCCCTGCCCCCCATCCCCACCCCCTTCCCTCCTTCCATCTTGTCCACCAAATCTGAAGGCCTTAAAAAGTGTGTGTTAGGGGAATGTGGATTGGGCGTGTGGTATCACTAGACTGTGGATTCGGGGTGATAAAGTCAAGAGGATACTAATTTGCAACTATAATAATGACAGTGCTTTGGAAAGGAAAAAGTTAAACTTGAAATTTGCGATTAGAGCAGTTGTCATGTTCATAATGTGAAAAGCGCAAACTCTTCGGGGCGGAGGCGGTAAAGACCCACGATGCACTTCTGCCCCCAGTCAGTCAGGGGATCGGAAATACCAGAAACAGCATTTTAACAGCAAGACGTCGTTCAACACTGGTGGGGAAGGGGGGAAAGATCAAACTACTCCATAGAACTAGCTGGCCCCTCGCTCCCCCACCCTGCCTCCTCAGCCTGGTCCCCTCATTCATAAAAGCTGAGAGGGCTGAATTACTCTTTACAAATTGTAATATTTTTGTAGTGTTTGTTAGTTCCTCTGTCAGTTCTACAGGACCTTGCCCTTTCCTTTTGTAATGTGAATAGGAAAACAAAAGAAAAAAACAACAAAAAAAATCACCACCATCGCAACCAACAACAAGTTATCCCTTTGTACGTGTGTACATGTGCGCGTGTGCTCCATGTGTGTGGTGGTGTGTTAAATCATGAGGTATTTTGTAATGTGGTGTTGCGGCACTGGATGGTACTCACCCAGCACCTGCCTGGCCCACCCCGCCTGGAGGGCTCCGCAGATCCCAGTAGGGGGTGCAGGCAGCTCTTGAGGGAGACGGGGTGCCTGTGTACTTGTGATATACCCGCCAAAGCCCGGTACACCTCTGCTCCACCTTCCTGCCCTAAAAGGCAAAACTGTTCTCCAGTTGCCAAGCTTTCTGGGCCAGCAAGGGCGGGGTGGGAAGCTGCCTGGAGCGCGGGCTTGGGGAGACCAGGAGTGTGAAGGTGGCTCCCTGGCCAGAGGAGCTTGGGGTGTTTACTCCCCCACTCCTCTGCCATCTGGCCCCTCCTGCCACCAGCTGCCTGTAGCTGTGGTCCTGCAAAATCGTAGCTCGCTACTGCCTTATCCTGCACAGTCGCCCTTCTCCAGACTGGAGAGCCCCTTTCCCAGGCCAGGCTCCTACAAGTGTGTCCCTTAATGCTTTCTGTGACGTTTACCCTTGACCCATGTGCTCCTTCCCTAATTCTTCACCCATTCAAAGCCTAAAAATCCTATATGTATATAGGATAGACAAATATATATAGAGAGAGATATATATAGCAAGAGAGAGATATAAATAGTAAATATCATTGCTGCTTTGGGCTGCTTTGGAGGAGGCCACAAACACAAGGCAGGCAGATCTGGAGTGCAGGGGTGCGTTGGGAGGCTGGGGGACCCAGTGATTCAGTACAATCCAGGGGTGTAACACGGGCTTGTTGAATCCTTGTGCCTGAACCGTTTTTCCACGTTGAGAAAAAAAAAAAGACAAAAAAAACCTGCTGCATTTTTTCACAAGTGTATGGTACCTTTCTGGACGCTATGTATGGGTACGTGTGCTGTGGGAGGAGAAAGCCCCTGGGCACCTCCTTAGCAGGGGGACTTCGGACCAGTTCCCCGGCAAGCTGAAGCAGGCTGGAAGCAGGGGTGGGGGAACACGAGTCACGGGAGCGGAAGAGATGAGATCCTCTTGGTCATTTCTCCTAGGCCTGTGTGATTGCCATCTTCCCCTCCCATCTGGGCTCCTGCTTCCTCGAGCTTCTGCAGGCTTGGCCGGAGTGGTGGCACTTACATGGGGGTTTCAGCGGGGGCACTCGCTGTGGGACTAACCTACACAGTGGGACTGGCAGGTAGTGGCAGAGGCAGCGACAGCCAAGAGAGGGGTACAGGACAGACCCAGGGAGGCCGGGTCAGGGAAGGCCCCGTGGGCTTGCTGGCCAGCAGCCGCAGCCTCCCCGTGTCCCCGGCTCGCTCTGCAGACAGGGTCCCGGCCTCCCGGTGTGTATCATAGTATTCATTCACATAGTGTTATGCATGATCCTCGTAAGGTTAAGAAGCCGTGGTGGTGCGCCGTGCCATCCGCCCATATATATAAAGATAAATATATATATATGTATGTAAGTTATAGCACTGGGGGCCCTGACGCCCTGCTGGACCAAGCAAAACTAAGCCTTTTGGTTTGGGTATTATGTTGCATTTCGTTTGTGTTTGTGGCTTGTCTTACGTCGTCGTGACAGCACAAGTGCCAGTCCGATTGCTCTGTATTACAGAATAGTGTTTTTAATTCATCAATGTTCTAGTTAATGTCTACCTCAGCGCCTCCTCTTAGCCTAATTTCAGGAGGTTGCCCAATTTTGTTTCTTCAATCTTACTGGTTACTTTTTGTACAAATCAACCTGTCGGCCCTCACCTCCTTCCTCCGCTCTCTTTCCTTCCCTTTCTCCCTCTGTCCCTCTCTCCCTCCTCTCCTGGCTCCTGCCATCTCCTCTCCTCCCCTCCCACCTCTCTCCTGCTTTCCTGGTCTCTCTCCCTTTCTCTCTTGCTGGTCTCTCCTTCCTCCTTCTGCTCCCCTCCCCTCTCTGGGGCTCCCCCAACCCCCTTCCCCTGTTCCTCAAGTTGTGCTTGGCTGCTTTCTGTTCTCTCAAAGTTCACTCGAAGTTGTGCGGTCCTGGTTGCAGTATTCCGCATCTGCCTTCGTTTCGTGTAGATGGATGCGTTTCTTTGTAACTTCAGTGTTTCTGACAAGATTTAAAAGAAAAAAGGAAAAAAAAAAAAGAAAGAAAGAAAAAAAATGAATTTACCGCTGCAGGTTTTTTTCTCTCTCCATGTGTCACTAAGTGAAGTTTGTGCCTTCTATAGCAAAGAGAATATTTTTTACATCCTACTAACAGTAGATTTTTTTGTAGTGAACATTTTTTGTATTTTTATTTATAAGTCTCATAAGAAAAATAGCAATGTTCAGTTGTATACCTTGAATCTGCAGTTAGAAGAAAATAAAGTTAATTCAGTTGTCTCCAGGTCATGGTGTCCCTCCTCTTTTTAAAATGCTTGGTCTTTTCTGCTTTTTCTTGGCTGGGGAACATCACAGAGGAACTGAGATTTCTGTGTGGTGATACAGGACGTGAACGCTCGGGGTTTCCCACATTCAGCCTCATTTGTGGCTCTGCTGTGCCTGGTGTATGTAAGGTATCTAGCTCCTCCATGCATACCGGGCTCCTGACTTTGGCCTAAGAAATAGTGCTCAGTACATTAATATCACTTGATCTCAGTGCTGTGAACTGTGTGGGGCGGTCACAAAACTGCCATACACCACTTACTCTTGCCCGTGCTGGGAATCGAGGACAAAGTGGCACCCCAGCCCCATGGAGCTAACATCTGTTGGCAGGCAACTGCTTGCTGGGGACCGAGCTGCTAGTGAGGCAGAACTTAGGTCCAGACCCATTCCTGACTCAGGCTCGGTTTGTGCTGGACTCCCCAAGCCGGAGTCTCCTGTCTGGATATTTATGGAGCCATTGTCCACTTCTTCCTGGCCGCTGAACGAGGCTCAGAAATGTCTGGACATGAAGCTTCCATCCAGTCGAAGGCCCCCAGTCCTGAGGTGGCCAAGACCTACTGAGAAACAGGCTGGAACAGGTGGCTATGTGAGGATGGGGGTGGCTGGGGGCAGGGCCACGAGCTCAGCATTTCCAACAACACAGAATGAAGGTGTCCAGAGAGCTCAGCCTGCTTGGTTTCCTCCTGGCCATCTGTCTGTGAGCCATGCTGTCTTCTGTAGCCCGTTTTTTCTCATTGGGGATGGAATCTCATCCTGCTCTTCTGTAGCTGCTGACCCTTTTACTCTGTCCTGAACGTGGTGGCCAGCACCTCTCTGCCTGAGGTCATCCCAGATGCTCCCTTCACCAGGATCGTTTGTCCCCTGGCCAAGGCCTAGGAACACAAGTTGCTGCAGTGGTCACTCCCGTGGGAGCGATGCCCAGCATCAGGCCTGCCCTCCAGCATCACTGAGAGTCCCCGGAACCAGGACCACTGCCCTGGTCCTTTGTCCACCCCGTGCTGCAGCCTGCAGGGAGACCTGTCGCTCTGCCTACCTGTCTGCCTGGATGGCAGCAGTCGGAAGATGACCTGCCAGCTCCTGCTCTCTAGGGCCAGGGGTTGCTGAGCTGAGGCCACCTGGGCCACCTGGAGCCCATGTTCGCTGCTGGACAGACTTCCCAGCTCCCCGGAAGTCAGCCTCTCTGCCTTTCTTCTTTTCTGTCCCCCCTTCACCCCGACCCTTATTTCTCTGGAGTTTTTGCCCTGTGTTGTTTGCCCTCTCCCTATATTTCTCCCTTTGGAAAATAATCCTTGGCCAGAAATGTATTTGTTTTGATTTGGAGCCGCCACCCCCCCCCAGCCTCCCGCCCCTCCCCCAGCCTCCCCGGCCTCGGGCCTCAGCTTTCTCTTGACAGATGGGAGGGCACTGAGCACTCCCTCTTTAAAACAACATTTAATCGCCGTTTTCTGTTCTTGGACATCAAAGCTGAGGCTTAGGCGCTGCGCTGGGGTCGCAGAGGCGCGGGCTCTGGGGGAGAGGAGGTGGCTGAATAGGGGCTGGCTGAATGGGCTTTGTGTGACCGCCGGGGTCTGCCTGCTTTACATGCTCTTTGACCCAGATATGATCTCATGGAGAAAAAGGGGCCCGAGCCCAGCCAGCCTGAGAACGCACGCTCCTCACGGCTAGCCTCCGCCCTCCTCCCTGCTGGCCACGACCGCAGCTGTCTTCTGCTCTAGCCGGGCAGTCGTGGACAGCCTTGTTCAGGACAGGGCTCGCCAGGGGGCACGCAGCTGGGGCCAGGGGAGGGGAAAGGCAGGTGCCCCCGAATCTGGGGGTGGTACAAACTCGGCCTGCGGTGTGGCCTCCCTCTTCCTGGCTGTGGGTAGGGACTTGGTCCACTGCGGCCTTAGGGGCCGTCCTTCCAGAAGTGGCGAAGCTGGAGCCCACATCCAGCCAAGGCTGCTGAAACTCCGTGCATGTGAGAAGCAGGAGCAGGTGGACCGAGGCCAAGGCTGGCTCATCCACTGCACGGTGCTGGCCTTTCTATCTGATTTCCTAGGGAGCCCCTCTTCCCCCTGACCAGGGACGGGAAGCCTAGAGAAGCTGACCTCTGTGCTTTGCTCCCACCTTTCGCTTTTCTGTCCTCCGCTTGCCGGTAGGCTGAGCGATTTTCCAAAATTGCAAACAGCATCTCGTTACTCCTTTGATCAAAGTCTCCTGTGGTCCCTCAGCTCTTGAGGGTGGAATTCAAACTCCACAGCAAGGCTCCCAAGACTGTGGGATAGCTGCTGTTCACTACCCTACGTCCCCTCTAGATGGCCCCAAGCCCAGGACTGTCCCCTACTCGTTCCTCCTGTCTGTGAACCACAGGCAGCTTCTAGGGCACAGGAGCTCTGCCTCTCCTGCCCAGCCCTCTCCGGGTCTCTATTCATGTTTTGGTCCAAGTCTCACCTGTCTTTGGTGAGGCCGCCCGAGGATGAATTCGGTGCCCCTGCCCTGCAGACCCTCCACCGTACCACTTGCCCTTGTGTATTATAATCACCTGTTTTCTTAATTATCCCACCTCTGGACTCAAGTTTCTTGAGGTCGAGAACTGTGTTCTTTATTTTTGGATTCCCAGAGCCTACCAGGCAGGCGCCTAGTGAATAATAAATGGATAAAAGAATGAATGGGAAACAGAGGGAAGAGAAACCACTTAGGGTTCGGGAACTAAGGAGGTGGCCTGATCAGGGCCAGGAGGGAACAGGAAGAAGGAAGTGGTCACGTGACCACCTAGGCACTGCCAGGAGACTGGCATGGACAGGTAGGGGCCTCTGCTTCCCCACACCTGTCCTTCTGCACCTGAACTGGGTTTGCCGTGTGCCCCAGAGGAAGCAGCAGCAAGCTCAGCGCTGTGACACTCACGGTCGGCACCCATTTGGGCATCTCTGAGGGGGGTGCGGGTGGAGATGCCTGCACCTCCATCAGGAAGGACATCGCCCCCTCTGTGCTGCTGGACCCAGGCCTGCCACTGTCCTCACTTTAGCCCCTGCCCCCTGGGAGCCAGCAGGAGGGCAGGTTCCTCTGGGCTGCCTTCCTGCTCCCCGGGGGGCCTTGGTGAAAGTGAACTCCACACATTTCAACCTGACTCCGCAGCCCCGCGGCCCCCTGCTGCGCTAATTACCCTGTAGTTCTAAACTGATTGCTGTACGCTAAGCTTAAGCCCTCCTTTATTTATTTACTGACTACATTAATAGCAAAGCGGGCTGCTTTCAGCCGCTCCCAACTGTGCTCTGGCTGCACCCTGTTCCCCTACATCTCCCAAAGAGGCAGGAGCAGACCCTGACACACAACCCTACATTTGCCACCCTGGCTGAGTCCCTGGTGCCACACGATGAGAAATACCCATTCTGGATACAACAGAGCTCCGTTTCTGTCCTGACTCTTGGACAGAAAGGGGCAGCAGCCAGAAGGCTCTTCCCATTACAGGTCACTCCGGACACTTCATTCTGACGGGGCTCCTGTGGACCGAAGTGCTGCCCCAGCCTCCTTTTACAGAGGAGTGAACTGAGGCTGTGATTCCCAGGCGGGTGTGGACCTCAGCATCTGCTCTCCTCTCCCCATGTGCCTCCCACGCCTCCCCAGTGTGACCATTTCTGTTCAGCCGAGTTCCCCACATCTGCCCCTTGCCGTGAGGGAGACATTCCTTTGCTGGGCTGAATGGACATCAGCTCTCAGCCTTTTCTGCCTCCTTCCTGTGCTCGCCCAGAATCCACTGCAAGATGAGTCAGGGGCTGGTGCCTGTCCGGCATTTTCAGTCGACTTTCCAAGTTAGACCCTACAGGGCCACTGCCAATCACGTACCTGGTGCTGTCTGGGGAGTGAGCATCCTCCGGTCCCCTGCCTGTCCTCAGATTCAGGGGCGCACAGGGGCTCATGACCGTGTCGCTATCACTACCCGAGTCTGAGTTCTGGGGAAGGGCTGTGCCCTGGCCTTGAGGCTCAGCAGCGTTTTGAAAACCAGCTGGGAGGTGGGGACAGCACAGGCACTCACAGAATCGAGCCCCTGGCTCTCCTCTGATTGGAAATAGCTCTGTGGCTCCCGCGCTGGGTACCTCTGAGGAAAAGGAAAGACAGCAAGATTTGGCAGGAAGAACTTGGGATTCACAGTAAAAAACAGAAACAACAAAACACCTGGGTTGGAGGCCAGCTCTGCGGAGCACTCTGTAGCCCTGACTGCATCTCAAAGCCTCTCTAATGTCCCGTTTTCTCAGCTGTAAAATGGGGCAATACCTGGATGCCTGTCTTCAGCACGGTTAGCCAGCTGGAGGAAGATGGGTGAATCAGATTTCTAGTCACTAGAGTGCTATAAAATGTGAGTTATAAGTGCGGGTGGGCTCAGGCTGGCCTGGAACAGGAGGACCTGGTGGCCTTGACATTCGTTCCCAGGCCACAAGCCCACGGAAGGGGCACCCAGGAGTATGGAGTCTGGAGCTAATCACAGCGGCTGCGGGCATTGCTGGGACTCTGTCACCACCTAGTGGGCAATGGTGGCAGGGGCTTTGCAGATCAGGGGATCTCGGAAGTTACTGGAACTTTGTAGCTGCCCTGGTTTCTCCCGGTCTCTGCTCCACAGGGTCTGGGTAGGATTGGGTGAGGGCAGAATGTAGAATATGGTCCACATTTGTGCGACAGAATGGACATTTAAAACTGCTTGAAGTGCAAGTCCGTGGGGGTATTTCCAGAAGTCCTGTACCAATATCTCTATCCTCTTTTTCTTCCATTATTCTTCCCACAAACAAACTATTTAAATCCCACTTTTTCCATCCTTATGAGGCTTAACTGGAATATGCAGTCAGTTCTAACCTCAGGGACACCTGGAGCATCGTCTAACACAGAAGGAAGACCAACTAGGATAAAATCCAGTGCCCCAAAAGCTTGTCTACCAAGGGCTGCAAAAGGGAGTTGAGTGCCTTGCACCAGGTCACTGAGAGCTTGCGGGTGATGGCAGGAGGCTGCGTTAAGATGCTTCCTGGAATCCCCAATTTCCTGCTAGCCCGGGATGGAACAGTGCCAAAGTTGTCATCCACCTTGAAGGAGGTCTGTCCTTCAGGTGGTGAGCGAGCCTGGTGGCTGCTCTAAGCCTCCCACTGCCCCCCTCATTTGGGTAAGGCCTCCGTTTCACCCCTGGGCACTTGGGTCTACAGATCGCTTGAGTGGATGTGGCCATAAGGTGGCAGATCTCTGTCTTTTGGCATCTGCAGCCATCCTAGGGGAAATCAGCTAGCTGGCTTCAAAGACCCCTCCGACACTGTGAAACTCCTCAGAGAAAAGCCTACCCTGGCTCCACGTCACCTGTTAGCATTTTTAAAAACAAGCAGCAAGCATTTCACTTTTTTTCCTCCACTCCAGTGAGATCTTCGGCGTAGAGTGAGCTTCTGGTGACACCAGGTGGACAAAAGGGGAAATTCATGTGTGATCACTGGACTAAGGGCAACCTGAGGAAAAGGTCTTGCTTCCTAACACACCCCCCTAGGAAGGAAAGGATGTGCAAATTGGCAGCAGAGCTGGCAGCTGTGGTGCATCCTCAAATCCCAGAAGGACTGAGGGAGACTGAGGCAGAAGGGTTGCAAGTTTGAGCCCTGCCAGGGAAAGTCAGAGAGACCTTGTCTCAAAATGAAAAGAGCTAGGAATATAGCTCAGTGGTTGAGCGCTGCTGGATAGTGTTTAAAAAGCGGGTTGGGGTGACAAATGGAACCTCATAGGCCTCACTGGATGACTACTGACTCTCAGAAATCTTTTGCAGACCAGAGTTTGTTCTTAAGCCCTTATTCCACGCATGGCTACTTGACCTTTCCTTTCCTTTGCCCCAGGGCAGCTGGCAGCAGGCTGAAAATTTTAAATTAGATTTCTCTGAAGTCTCAGGGATCATAAAAGAAAGAAGCACCACGATCCATATACAAGGGACCACCTGGGTCATAATCACCATAATGATAGTCTCCCGTATCATGCTTCCCTGGCTGGTTCTCTGTTTTCAGAACATGGGAGCCATATTTTTTTGTTTGTTTGTTTTTGGTTTTTCTTTTTTGAGATAGGGTCTTGGTACACAGTTCACGCTAGCCCCGAACTCACTATGTAGCCCAGGCTGACCTCAGACTTGTGGTGATCCTCCTGCTTCAGCCTCCTGAGTGCGGGGATCACAGGTATACTGCAACCATGCCCTGCTCTGGGAGGCATCATTAATCCCTGATACCACAAACCAGGCAGGGCTAGGCCCACAGTGATGAAGGACTCCCATGTCTGGTATTGACAGGTGACATGCTCATCCCACTGTCAAAATCTGACTCCTCCTGGTGGGGCCTGGATCTTACCCTGTTTTTCTGAGTTCTTAGGTATGCTTTTCTCTTTTCTCCCCACCTCCATTTATCCCCACCTACCTGATCATTCCCATAAGCCGATAAACATTTTCCATTTTAGCAAACGTTTCCTTGATCCTGCATCCCTTTAGCTGCCACCCAAAGTGCCCTTTTCCTTTGGATAGCAAAACTTTATAGGAAGCTGCCTATGGATACATTTTCTGTTCTACTTACAAGAGCTTGAGTGACATTTGGCCTTTTACCCCATTAAAATCACCTTGTCAAGGTCCCCAGTGGCTCCACCTTGTAAACTGCAATAACAACTTTGCTGACTTCACCTTGCCTTCTCTCCAGAGGCTTTCTACGTACCTGGGGTCTGTTGGCAATGCTCTCCTAGTTTCCCCGCAGATCACTCTGCAGCTTCTTTTTGTTTGTCTGGGGTTTTTTGCTTTTTTGAGACAGGATCTTCTGTGTAGTTCAGCCTAGCCTTGAACCCATGATGTAGCCCAGCTGACCTAGAACTCTCAGCAACTCTCTTGCCTCAGCCTCTTGATTGCTGGGATCCCAGGCACGCATCACCAGGGACAGCTGCTTCTCGGTCTCCTTGAATGATTCCTTCAACTTCCTCTGCTAGAACTTTGCATATGAAATTACCTCTCAAGGGTTCCTTGACCCGTTAGGTCGCCTGTCCTGCATCTTCTCCCATGTCTCATCTGCTTCTGTCACTTTTCTTATGTGCCAGTGACTCCCAAATTTGTAGCTCCTGTTCTGCATGTTCCACCAAGTCCCATATTCAACTGCATAGTTTATGATTCAGCTTTTCTTTTGCTGGGACAAAATACCAGGTACCTGCAATTTCAAGGAGTGGTTTATTGACTTATGGTTTTGGAGGGTTCAGCCCATGGTCAGCTGACTTCAAGGCCACATCATGGCAGAGACACACAGTAGAGGAAAGTTTCACCTCATGGTGGCTGGAAGCAGAGGGACAGGGGGAGATCCAGAGAGAGCAGAAAAATGTATGGGGTGAAGAATCTGTTCTTTCAGGTCATGTTTCTCAGTGACACACCTCCTCCAAAAAAGTCTCTACCTGACAACAGCACACTCAGCTATAATTCATCAATGGGTTAATCTGCTGATGACTGTAGTACCTCCTGGATCTAATTGCTTTGTGAAAGCCCCACCTGTAAAGACATGAGGTTTTGGGGGAACATTTTATGTTTAAGCCATTGCAGTGTACATGTACATGTACATGTACAGTGAAATGTACATGAAGGGTACATTTCAGTGTCTAACATGCATCTAAAATTTAACTTTTGTCTACACAAAACTCATGCTTATCTCTTCCACTGGCTCTATAGGACAGTGCTCCCTGATGTAACAAAAGCATAAAAATACACACGGCTCGATTGTAATAGAAGTTTAAGTGTCCAGGGTGAGAGTCTGTGTTTTGTAGCTGGCTTTCTCTACACCCTCAGGATCCACCATCCACTGCTTTGGATAATACTCAGTCTCAGCCACATCTGGTTACAGGCAGGGCTGGAAAATATATTCTTCCTGTGTTGGGAGGAAGGAGAGATTGGTTTTTGGTGAAGAGCTAGCAGTCTCTGCTACAATCTGTCTTCTGGTCATTACATGTTTATACTCTTCCTCCTATATACGCAATATACTTATCTCCAAAGCAGGGGTGGGGTGGGGGCCAGATCCCATCCACTTTTGCAAATATTTTAAAGTTCAGGATCCCTGGGTGCCATGTAGCTCTCTCCATCAAATCTGGTCACGAGTCCTCATAGAAAAGCAAACCTGTGGGCCAAAAGCCAGTTGTCTGATCCTAGCTCCCACCCCCTGGGCAATATACCAAAGAGGCAACTGTCCTGCTATGCATTGTCAGAACATTTTAGTAAGAGCACTTTGCGCAGTGACTAATCTTCTCTCCCTTCTTGGTACAAGGCAGAGTTACATTTTCCCTGTAGTTAGATGTGACCAGCTGCCTGCTAACAACTAAACCCAAACAGGAACGCTCGGCATCAGCATTAGGCAGGGCTTTCAAAGGCAGGTACGCCCTGCATTTACTCCTTAGGCAGCTGTCCTGGTCATTGTCCTGTCCCTCTACCTGACAGCCACAGTTGAAAGGAGGAGAGGTTGGTTTGGCTCACAGTTTCAGTCCGTAGTCAGCTGGCTGGTGGCAGAGGGGGAAAGGCCGAGGAAAGGTGCTCAGCACGTGGCAGCCAGGAAGCCGGGAGTGAAGGGGGCAAGAAACTGGGGACAAGAATGCGTTCTTCTGGGTCACACGCCTGTGAGCGCCCTCCAACCAGGCTCCCCCTCTGTGGTAGTCAGGGGTTGAGAGGAGAACAATTAGCATCAGGACACAGAATTTTGCTATTATTTTATGATGGTCACCCTGAGTTAACACAAGAGAGTGCAGGAAATCTGTCCACAAGGCTAAAGACCTGGAATATTCAGCCAATGGCCTGAATCCCACAGCAATGTCCTGCAGGAGTCCAGCTGAAGACCCGGAGCTCATGACAGGGCCTCCCATAAGTCCAACTGGAGGTGTACAGCCCACGAGAAAGACTCATGCCAGTGTCTTTTACAGATCTGTGCTGGGAAGGCCCAAAGGTCAGCAGCAGAAGCTAGAAAGTCTATGCCAGCGGGGCGAAGGAGCTGTGCTGTTAGGCTGAGGGTTCTACACTGGAGCTGAGAAGTCACACACAAAACAAGAACCAGGGCTGCTCTGAAAAGCACCACAGCCATCCTCAGCAACATGGAGGCCCAGAGTTCCTCTGACGATAAGCACAGTCAAGTACATGCCAGAAAGCCAGCATGATGAGTTTGTCCTAGAGATTAAGTGGCACATGTCTTCCCCTCCAGAGCCAGAAAATAAGGCTCGATGTAAGGGCCAGAGCTCCCCAAAGTGAACCACAGCCACTCTCACCAACAAAGTCCCAAGCTCCTCTGATGACAGTGATCAAACTCGCACTGGGGAAGCTGGTCATGACGAGCTCCTCCAGGAGAACCAACGGCTCAAACAGCAACACACAGGAGAACCCACAATGCCTAACTCGTCTTCTCCATGTCTCTATTTATGCTGGCAACTTTCCTCAGGTGGAACATCTCCGCTCAGCCCCATGGTGATTTAATCCTGCTGTCGTTAAGTTGACCCCCAGTTTTTAATCCCTAACAATCTCCTAACAGCAGGCCCAGCCGCTGAACTTATCAATGGACGAATCCACTGGTAAGTAGAGGTTTCCCCAAGATCCACCTTCCACACACATGAAAATTTCAGGGGACATTTTAGATCTAAATTGTAATAGCCACCTTAACAAAACACCATAAACATAAACAAAAATAACTGATGTAACTTAAACCAACACACATGTATTTTCTCACAGTTATGGAGGCCAGAAATCCACATGGAAGCTATACCCTCACTCTGGGAGCTTTGGGAAAAAATCTTCAAACTTGTAGTGTCTCTTGGCATTCTTTAGGTTGTGGCAGCATAATTCCCACCTCTACCTTATCATTACATGACTTTTGTCCCTGTGTGTCCTTTTCTGTCTTATGAGGATACTATTATTGGATTCAAGGCTCACCTTAATTCAAGATAATTTCATCTTAATCCTTGATTGAAATTACATCTGCAAAGGCACCTTTTCCAAATAAGGTCACATTCTAAGGTTCCTGGTAGACATGAAGGGCGATGCTATAACCCCGTTCACAATAAATATTTTCTTCCTGCAATGAGACGAAGGAGCAGACAGAAACTCTACGCAAAGGCGCCCCTCTAGTTCACAGGGCTGAGTAAGACCTCCTGTCCTGGCGGTGGAGAACACTCCTGTTAGACCCTAAGCTCCGGTGAGCACTGTTCTCTCAAGCCCTTGGCTCTACACCTGAGAGATTATTCCTCGGCTGTCATCACACTGGCCATTGGCACTGGCCCTGGGGCTGAGTCTCCCCTGGTGCTCCACAACTGAGGCAGGCTGATGCCCGCCTGTGCCCTTTTGAGAGAGGAGTGTGGACTCAAGTTCCAATAGCAGATCCTGTTTCAGGGCACATTCATGGTGTTTTCATAATACAGTTTTTTTTCAAAAACAGTTTCTGGCTTTATTTGCTTCCAGCCCATTCCTGATGTCAGAAACCACGCCTAAGTTTCTTTGTTAGACACAGTTGTCAAACCTGCTATTATTATCATCGTTATTTATTAATTTTTCTTTTGCACCCTCAAGTATCTTTGTCAGCTAGCTTCCCAATCACTGTATCAGGGCCCTCTGCGTCAGGGTGGGTGCAAAAGACAACATTTTTAATGTGACTTTGACATAGGACTAAGTCTCTATGAGAGAATTTTCAATAACAACTTACTGTTTGCTTATTTGGAGCTGGGGTTTGACCCCAGGACTCATGCACACCTGAGCTATGCCCACAATTTCATGAGTCTTTACTGCTTGAAGACTTTCTAGTCTTATTTTTTTGTAATTTGGGATCTAGGATCTGTTTTCCTATACCTAAGAAAACACAAATATCTGGGTTCTCTCTATGTTATTCCCTTTTTAAATTTTTTTGAAAAACTTTCAGATATTATCTGTACTCATTTCTTAATAGTATCTTGATAAAAAATGGAGGAGCTGTTCATAGATATTAATACTGTGGTTCTTTTCCCTTATAGTTACAGGATTGATCTATACTTGGTTTGATCTGTCTATCAAGTTTCTCACGGTAAGAATTTTACTAAGTGTTTTGCGCCTGCGCACCACAGGATTCCACCTTGCTAACCTGCCATTACCTCTTTTCTTGCTGCCTGCAAAGGTCCCAAGTAATCTGGCCACTTCCCACCTTCCTGAGCCACCTCCTTCTTCTTCGCTTCCTCCCTGAACCTAGCTTTGCTGCCTTCCATCTGTTTGGAACAGGGTGGACCTTTGCACATGCCTCTCCCTCTGCCAAGAGCTCTCTGCCCCCACAAATCTCTGCACGGCTGCCTCTTTCGCATGCTGTCCAGGCCCCGGCTCACATATTGTTGATTCTGATCTTTTTCTGACCATTCCATCTCAAGCTTGTTTTTCACAGCCTCTGCCACCATCTGGTATCATCTTCTGTATGTATTTAGAGTCCTGCTGGCCTCCGTGTGGTAGACTGTGTTTGCCACCCAAGTGTGGTAGCCAATGCTGATCCTTACATAATGCACATTGTGTACAAGATACTGTTTTGGTTATTTATGAAAACAATTTTTTTTTGTACCAGCGGTCAAACTTATGACCCAGTGCTTGCCAGGCAGGCGCTTATGCCGCTGAGCTAAATCCCTGGCCCCCGAAAACATTTTAAATAAACATTTCAAAGATACACAAAAATAAAGAGAACAGTATAGTGAACCTTTCATAAAACCCAGAAACCAGATTCAGTCTTACCCAGATCTTGTCACACTGCCTCCCTTCCCCTTTTTTCTTCCTGTCATTTGTCTTTTCTTTATTTTTATTAAATTTTTTTAAAACACCCAGACATCATGTCATTTCATCTCCAAATACTTCCATGGATTCATTTTTAAAAAGGAGCTGTTCTTATGTAACTCACTGGCATTTATACACCTAGAACATTAAGGTGGACTCTTCTGTGTCATCACTCAGTCTACATTCATAGTCTGCTGACTGGTTTAAAAACAACTTTTAACATTTGGTTTGTTAGAATTAGGATCCTGACTGCACCTGTTTGTTGTTTCTCGGAAGTCTTGTTTTCCTCGTGCTGTTGGCTTGTCAAGCACAGGTGCGAGATGCTGAGGGTCTGAATTAGGGCTGGAGGCGGGGCAATGATCTGGAGCAACCCTGGGGAGAACAGTTGTTCACCGAGCTTCGGCCAGCAGAATAGGCCCATCACTGGCTTCCGTGAGACACTCAGGAGCTTCAAGATCAACGGTGGCTTCACTTTCTCTAAAGGGTCTAGTCAGATGGCTGAACCCAACCTCACTGAGCATTGAATTGTGCCTTTCCCTGCCTTCTCCCTGCTGGGCAAAACATCTGAACGGTTCCCCCACTCATTCACAATCTTTATCCAGCATCCTCTGGAGCTTGACAAGCAATGGTCAGTTCCCCTGTAATGCACTTACCATGGCTCCTAGATCATCCATACACAAAAGGTCGTGGAATTTTTTTCTGCTAGTTTAAAAAAAACCTCAGATTTAACTGGTTCTCTAGCACAGAGCTTCTGACTCCCCATCTGTGGACTTGACACCTGGGAATCTGTGTTTTAAAACAATTTACTAGGTGATCCTGATGCAGTTAATTCACAGACCTACCTCAGAAATCTCGTAGCATACACCAGTGATGAGTCCTAAGATGAAACGTGTAAAGTGATTTCTGCCATCAGGTCCCAATCCCTCTGGACTCAGCCATCTCCCAACTTGTTGTTTGTGTATGCTTTGTATTATTTATCCATTGTATCCATGCCCTGCTATACTACCACATGAGGTATAAACACACCAAAATAAAATTTTAGTTAATAAGTACATAAAAATAGACGTTCTGATAGCTGCTTTTTACACTGAAGTGATTTCTCTTGGATTCCCATCTGTGGACAACACCTTTGGGATCTTTTCAGCCAGTTTGCATGTGCACTGAAGAGTTTTGGTCATAAGATCCCCCTTCTCCTCTAATATTTCTCATGGCTATAAATGCTGTGTTGGAAAGTTTGCCTAATTGGCTTGGGTTGAATGTTTCCTTAGCGGTGGGCCCCAGGAACTTTCCCAAATTACTTGCTGGACAGGCAAACAGGAAACTTAAGTATGGTCCTGGTGGTCCCAAGCCTATGGGCTTCTCAGAGCACCAGGAACTCAGTTCACAGGAAGTTTCTAAGGAAGGTATTTAAGGTGCAGAGAGAGAAAAAGTGATCAGGAGCATAGGGGAGGAAGGCAGTAAATCCAGGTAAACAGGCTAGAACTTGCAATGTAAGTCAATTCAGGGCTCTATTTTTTCCCTTGTTTTTTCTGAGGCTCTATCTGTTATTTTCCATTAGTCAGACAAGATTCCTATTCTATTTGTTGTAACGCAGGTTTATTGGTGATATGTTCTTCCTGTTTTTATTTATATGAAAAGGACTTTATTTTACTCTCAATTTTGAAGAATATTCTTACTCGATATGCAATGCTGGGTGGATAAATTTTTTATTTGTTTTGTTGTGTCAACAGTTTTAAATATATTCTGCATCACATCTTGACTTCCACTGGGTCTTCCGAGGATTCAGCCTCTAATGGTGACATTGTTCCCTTGTGTGTGGTATGTCATTTCTCTCCGGCTGATTTGACAACATTCAGCAGTTTGATTATCCTGTGCCTAGATGTTAATTTCCTTTGCTTGGGGCTTAGTAGCTTCTTGGATCTGTAAGTTATTAATCTGTTGCACCAAATTTTGAGAAGTTTTTACTGTTTTGTGTTGTGTATTTTTCCCAGCCTATTCTCTCTTTTCCCTCGGGGATTCTAATTACGAATATATTAGATGGCCTTACATTTTTTCCCTACAGATTACTGTTCATTTTGTTTCAATATTTTCTCTCTCTCTTCTTCTGAGTAGATAATTTCTGGGGCTCTATCTTCGAGTTCATGGCCAATATAATGGTTCAGATCTAAAATATCCCCCAACAATCTTGTGTTCAGAAGTGGGGCCTTGTCAGAGGGAACGGGTCACTGGAAGCGTGGAAAGATGCATTCCTTTCTGACTTCTGTCCTTCCCAGCTTTCTCACTGTCACGGGGTGAGCAGTTTTCCCATGTCATACCTACTATCATGCCATTTCTGCCTTTGAGCAACTCACCACAGACTGACTCCTATGAAAATCATGAGCCAAAACAAATCCTCCTCCTTTAACTTGGTTTCCCTCCAGGCTGTATGGCTGCCATTGGCTCACGGGAGGGTGTGGGTTGGCTTCTTGGTTCTCCTCCTGACCCACAAGGCTGCCACTGGCTCATGGGAGGGCGCACCTTGGCTTTTTCTGGAGTTCACATCTTGCTACACCCTGTTTTAGGAATTGGACATGAAAACTAAGATTTAATGATTGTCCTGCTGGGTTTTGGTCTTGCGTGCTTTGGTCCCATTCCTTTTATACCCCTATTCCTCCCTTTCTGAACAGGAATATTTATTTTGTACCATTGTACGCTGGAAGTCTTTAATTTTTACAGAGGCTCACAGCTAAGTTTTCCTTGAATCTCAGAGGAGACTTTGGATTTGGACTTTTCAGCAATGTTAGAAGGATTAAGACTATGACAACTATTGGAGATGGATTAAATGCATTTTGAATGAGGTGGACATGAGCCTTTTGGGAGCCAGGGTAGAAAGGTATGGCTTGGATCTAAAATGTTCCCTGAGAGTATTGCGTTCAGAGGTGAGAACTTGTTGGGGGGAGTGGGGCCCTGGGGGTATGATCTGCAAGGCTGTATGTTTCTTCCCAGATTCTCCCTTCTCTGTTTGGTGCCTGTTGCCAGGCAGTAAACAGCTTCCCTCTGCCCTGTCCTTCTATGATGCTATCTCTACGTTACAGTCAAAGTAGTAGAGCCAGAAATGTGAAGAGTTTGCAGTTTCACCAGAAGTGAATGAAGACAAACTTGGGGCAACGGAGAGAAGGTGATTGCTGAAAAGATTAGCATTAAAAAGAAATCAAGTTCTTTGCATCAAGGCAATAGGAAAGATGGTTTGAAAGCATGACAGAACTGGTCTGACTCCACTGACTATGCACTGAATCTTCTGAAGAGCATGAGCCAAAATAAGCCTCTCTTTCTTTAAATTGGGGTATCAAGTATTTTGTTTCAGTGATGGGAAAGTCATTGTAAGCTCTCACTGTTACTATCTCCAATCTGCTGTTAAAATCATATAATGAACTGTTCATTTCAGATGTTGACTTTTCAGCCCAGTATTTCATTTCTTTAAAAGAAAAGGGAGGGTATGTGTGATTTTTCTGTTGAGATTCAATTTTTGCTACTCACTATGATTACGTTTTTCCCTCTCATTATGAATATGTTAATCCCTCTTACAGTTTATATCTAGATGTCCCCCCAAAGCCTCATGCCCTCCTAGGTGAGGGTGGGGGTAAGTGGGTGGATCATGGGTGTGTGAAGCTGGGTTAAAGAGGGATATCTGGATTAGCCCACTGCTTGGTTTAGTATAGTTCTGGGTGTATATAATAGAAGCCCTACCAGGGGTGTGGCTGAATGTATTTACTGAAGACAGACGTCTACACTGGGGGTACTCTGGGTGGGATCTAAAGGGAAAAGGAGGCTCCCTGCTTGCTGCTTCCTGATTGCTATTCTGCAAACACTTTCTTCTCTGCAATTCCCCTCTGCTCTGTGCCACCCAGCCTTGGAGCTAGCTGACCATGTACCAAAACCTTCACAAAATAAACTTTCCCCTCTCTAACATTTGGATGTCAGCTACTTTGTTCTAGCAATGAGAAAATTAACTAATGCACTCCTTAGCACATTTATAACAACTGCTTCCAAGTCCTTATCTACTAATTTTGGCATCTAGATCATCTCAGTCTGTTTCCATTGAAATCTTTTATTTTTGTGGTAATATTTTCATATCTCTTGATATGCCTAGTAATTTATTATTGTAGGCTATAAATTGCAAGTGATATATTATAAGAAGTCTGGATTATGTTATTCTCCTTTAACGTGTTGCATTTTGTTTTGGCAGGGAGTTAATTCATTACAATTTTTCCTCCGTTCTGCTTTAGGCTTTGCTCAGGTGAGTCTAAAGGTCCTTTTGCTTTGAGCCATGATCCTTATTCCCAATGCATAACTTTTCATCTCAGCCGATGCTAAGAAGATACAGAAAAAGTAACCAAGATACCCACTTTGTGGCTGTGGGACTTTGCTGCAGCAGCCCTTGCCAATGAATATATCCTCATACATAGAACTTTGGGTCCCATCTGTGTGAATTCCTCCTCCATTATAAGCCAGCTCCACAAGCACCACTTACTTCAGCAGCTCCAAAATTGGACCTTTGCTGTCTTAGCTCATCAGGTCAGCTGGACTCTGTTTAGGTTCCATTGTCTGTGCTGCAGTTGAGAAGCTGTCTCTAGCCTTGGGGCCAGTGGACACAGGCCTGAGACTCTTCAGGACTGTTCCTGAAAACAGTATGTAGTACACTTGATTCAGTTGTGTAGTGCTGTATGGTGAAAGCCTGTGCTAGTGTTTGCAACTCTGTCATGGCCAGAAATGAAATTTCTATACTGAATTCTCTATTTGAGTAAACTTATTTAATCTTGTCAGCAGTTGTACTAGTCAGTTTTCCAGCACTATGAGAACATACCTGAGACAATTAACTTGTAAGGGAGAAGGTTTATTTTGGCTCATGATTTCAGAGCTTTCAGATCACAGTCACTTGGCTCCATTGGTTTTGGGCTTGTGGTGAAATGAGCACATGGAGCGGAGTGTGTGATGGAGCAAGTTGCTCATTTTGTAGCCAAGAAGGAAGGAAGGAGAGAGAGAGAGAGAGAGAGAGAGAGAGAGAGAGAGAGAGAGAGAATGAATGAGAGAGACGGTAGGAGTCCCAATACTCCTAGTGACCTAACTTATGTCCACTAGGACCCATCCATCACCTTGTCATAGTGCTACAGGCTGAGGACCAAGCCTTTAATATATGGATCTTTCAGGGACATTCCAGATCCACAGGATAGCATTACAACCCCCAAAGACAGGTTTTTGTCCTCATGTTTTCACAGATGAAAAAAAAAAGAAAACAAAAAACAGACAAGAAGAGACTAAACTGTTCAAAGACATATTTTATAGCGGTGAGGCTGAACTTGGATCTGATACTTCCCCGTGTACCATCCTGTTGCCTTTCATCAACCAGCGCTCCATAAATGCCTTTTGAAGGGATCAATAAACAGCCGTCTCTTCTGCCTTACCTTGTGTTCCACCTGTCCAGGGAAGTGCCAGCCTTCTGTGAGCTCCAAATCTCTTTTGCACCCAAATGCCAGGAGCGCTGTAGGAAATGATACTTCTTAGCAGATGGACCTCCTACTAACTTACTGAGTTATCTGGGCCTTCAACAGTATCTATGGGAGACTGGTTCCAGACTCCAATTCGCCCTAAGGTACAAAATCCATGAGTGCTCAAATCCTTTATATAAAATGAGAAGTTGCTATAACCTACACAATCCTCTCGTGTATTTTAAGTCATCTCTAGATTACTGTCTTATACAATGTGCACACTTTATATAACTAAGCATTATACTGTATTGATTAGGGAATAATAATAAGGAAAAAGTCTGTACACATTCGTTGCAAACAAGTTTTTTCAAAATTTTTTCCAATCCACGAGTGCGGAGCCCATACAGATGAGGGTCGAGTGTAATTCTGTGTTTCCCTCGTCTTTGCCTCCCATTTAGCACAGAGTTCTTGCTTCGGATCTCAAACATCTGCACTCCCTACTGCATGTTTCAACTGTGAACTCCGTTTCTTACTCATCTCTGCAAAGTTGACTTCTTTTGGCACCCGACTTGCCATTTCCTCTACTGTCAAAATATTTAGTGTTTTCCGATCAAAGCAGCTTCCATGCTCAGCTACTACCCTGTGTCCTCCTTTTCCCTCACAGCGCAGCCTTTGGAAGCGTTGTTTACATCTTCTGTTCTCTGGCTGCACCTCCTCCTCTCCCTGTCACCTCCAGCTCCCTCCGTCCCCACAATCTGGCTTCTGTATTCACTATTTCCCTCTTGATTGATTGCATCTTTGGTTTTCTTTAACTTATTTATTGGTTGATTGATTGACTTTTATATTTAATTCAATGATTATTTTTCTGCTTTTTAAATTATTTAAGTCATGAATTTTCCACTCTTTTACTTTTGTCCTATAGGTAATTATGTGTAAGATTTCCTCCCGGCCTTATTTCTTATTGAAAATGTTGGTTTCTCTTTGTTCCAAGAGTATTAAACTGAAATTTTTTTTAAAAATTTGAGGATAGAGTCTCCTGTTTCTGGTTTTGCAATTAACCTTGATTTTGTTGTATTTCGGTCAGAGGATAGTTAGGATTATTTCTACTTTGAGGGAATTAAAAAATCCTCTGTGGCTTAATGTATAGTAAAGCTTTGTAAATGTTGCACAAGTAGCTTGCAAATAAGATAAATTTTTTTTAATTTTCAGATTATAGAGTTCAATGTACAAATTAGCTAATGCTGTATTATTAATTAAATTTAGTTTTTTCCATATTCTCATCTATTTAGGGATACATAAAGCAGAGACCCACAGCCTTCCCTTGCACACAGCCCAGGTTTGTTCCTGATCTCCACACAGTGTTAGGGAGGGAGAGATATCAATATGACTGTGTCACAGCCCGGAGCATCACTAGGGGGAGAAGTCGAAGAATGAATCATGGGCTTCCAAATGGGTATTAGTCTGCTAGAGCTGCTGTAACAAAAGACACAACCTGGGAGGCATAGACGTAAATTCGTTTTCTCACAGTTGGGGGGCTGGAAGTCCAAGGTCGAGGGTTCGGGCAGGGCTGGCTTCTCCTTTCTCTTGGACCTGCAGGTGGGCACTCCGTGGCTGTGTCCTCCATGGCCTTTTCTGTGTGTGCACATCCTTAGTGTCTCTCTCTTCTTACAAGGATGCTCATACCACTAGATTAGGACCCCAACCCTATCACTTATTTACTTCCGTACCATATCCAAATAGTCACATTAGGAGTTTGGGCTTCAATATATAAATTTTGGAAGAGACACAATTCAGTGGGATATGGAAATAGGAAACAGAGAAATGGAGGGATGAATGTCATTTCTGCAAATTTCCTGCCAAGGGAAACGAAATAACTGTGATTTAATGTCTACCCCACCCATGTGAATGAGAACTTGAAGAATCAATTCAGTTCAGTTACAGAGGAAACATTTCTTGTACACATCCTACAATATCTGTAGCTTCAGCTCAGATCTCTCTGTAAATTCTAGATCTCTATTGGATTTAGATATATTTCTTAGCCTCAGTCTGCGGTACTCAAATCCAAACCTCACTCCCATCCTTTCATCCTCCTCACCCTTCAAGTAAACCTGTCCTTTCTGAGTTCCCAAATTGGCTAAGTTTTACCAGAATCTATTCAGTGGTTGGGGCAAAAGCATTACATTGGGTTGAAAGCTGTGAATTATAAAGCACTGAATATTAAAATCAGCGAAGGTAACTGCAGCTTATCACTGATATCTATGCGAGTTCAGAGAAGATTGTGTTTAAAAATTAGGCACGTTTCTCACAAAGTTTGAAAACTCACTGTAAAAATGATTGCAGTAAGTGAAACAGAGACCAAAACCCTTGTCTACAAGCCAAAGCCACTGAAAATGCTGGCCTGGGATAGCAGTAATTCATGTCTGCTGAAGGAGCACTGGACAGGAAGGTAGCTGAGATAGAGGTGAATAGACTTGGAGAGGAGAATTCAGAAAGTGTCATTCATGGGTTTTCTGTTCTTCACTGAAGTGTTCCGCAGTGGGGTTGGACCCGGGGGTGAAGTAGTACCGAGCCTTTCTCTGTCACAAGGTCCCAGGGTGCGCACCTACAATCCCGGGACTCTGAGAGACTGATGCAGAAAGAGCTCAAGTTTGAGCCCAGCCAGAGCAATTTAATGATTTAGCAAGGTCTTCTCTCAAAATTAAAAAAAAGAAGCCTTCAGTAGGAAGGTTCTGGATTTAATCCCCAGTACCAAAATAAGAAGGGAGCAGAACAGTGTAGGGGGTCAGATTGCCGTCCTTCCTGGGCAGATTCACTGACCTCCTGGCTTTTGGGGATCCGACTTTCACGCAGTGACCATTCAGGTGAATGTTGAACTCACAGTCAAAATCTGTCTGGACTACTTCGGATTTGGCCAGAACCCCTGAGGAGATAAATTCCTCCACTTCCTCTGGAAGCACTAATATGCCATGTTCTAATCAGGTGCCAGCCTCCTTCAAACCTAGGGGAAGCTTGTGAGAGGACAGGGGGCCATTCCACTTTCAGACCAGGGGTTCATTTCCTTCAACACGAGTGCAGGCTTGGAAGTAGAGGAAAGTCGAGGAAGGCAACCAGGTAAGTTGCAGGAGATGTGACCTTTCAGCTTGGTGGAACCGCCCCACAGGAGGATGGTAACTCTACATGAGATACGGTACCGAGTCGGGTGGGGTGCTCAACATCTCTGCAGTTTCTAAGATCAAGCTCAGCTAGTAAGAAATCTAAGAGCTGTATTTTTGACAGTCCTGAGTGGGCTTAACATTTCCATGTTCCTGGCAAAAGAAATAAATAAAAGGAAGCTCAAGAGCCACTAGGCAAATGCGGGGGGGGGGGGGCTTCATTATTCTGTTGATTATCAGTGTGGCCCATGAAAACATCATGGTGAGTGGATTTCAGATTTGCCTCTAGGGGAAGAATGGGCTAGTCAGGTTAGAACATTAAAGCCAAGATATGGGTATCTTCTTTTGGTTCATCTGAGCAAAAAAAGAGACATAAACTCAACAGGTAGAATTTTTCAATGAAGCTTTTCCTGCCATAAAATTTTCTTAAACTTTTGATACCCACCACATTTTATCTATCACTGTGCTCTCTGGATTAAAAAAATGAACAAAGAGTTGCAGCAGAACTCAGCAGCCTGCTTTTCCCTGAGTCTGCCTGTGTGTAGTTCTGATTTTGTACAGCATATGCATGCTCCTACCACAGAGACACATTTCCCGCTTGCAAAATTGTTCATAATTTGTGCATTAGAATTAAAGAGATGACTAGTTCCTGCTGTTCTACAAAGAGGATCAAGACTTCCAGGTGTTCTGCCATCTGAAGACATTTAAGAACCTCAGTTAGCAGCTCAGGGATCAGATGCTGAAAGACGTCTGGATCCAGGTGAGAGAAGCAATTGTTACTGAACAGTGGGTTAGAGGCTGGGCCAGAGGCAGAGTTATAACAGGACCCCTGGGTCACTGTCCTGTTGTGCATCTTGGAAGTCCCTTGCCAGGGTCTAAATCTACTGCTATTTTGGGTTAACCTAGTCTCTCCCTGGATGCAGGGAAGACACGAAAGGAATAGGAGGCTAAGGTTTCTGTGAGCAAGTTCTGTATTCTCCTTTTGGTCCCCAGACCACCAGGCAAGGTTCTGGAAATAGAATTAGTGCTCAGCACATGCTCACTGATTAGTCTTTGGAGCATGAGATGGTCTCCCTGAGGCCACAGCGCACTATGGTGAAGATTGCCTGGGAAAGGAAGAGAGTGCTCTCCAGACAAAGCTGATCTCTCCTCCCAGCTGTTCCTGTCTCCAATACTGTCTTTCCCCAGTGTCTATGATCAGGGCTGGGGATGTGCTAAGTGGTGACTACAGACAAAACCCATAATTCTGGAGTTTACTTTTCCAAATGGTTAACTCCCTGCAGCCCAAACAAGCTAGTCTCCTAGAGCCTTTGAAGGACTTTAGATGTTAGAATCTTACTTTAATTCTGATGATTCAGAATGGTTTCTGTTCTAAAGTCTAAAGAGGAAATGACAGGCTGCCCCAGGCTGACCTGGCTTCAGGCTATCGTTCATTAATCTCCTCTCCCTCTGTAAGTCTTTCTGTGGTAGTCCTTGTTTCCAATTTCGTGCACCAGATCTGTCCACACATGGGAGCGCAACTGGAGGAGAGGCTGGAACATTTGACTGGTCTCCAATAATGAAAAGTACCTGGATAGGAAGAGAACAAGAAAAAGGTGTGGGTGACTTCTTCAGGATCCTAGTGCCTCACGTAAGAGCCAGTGCTCTTTCAGCGTGGCTCAGATAGGAATATCCCGAAAGATGAAAACTAACAAGTATAGGGAATAGTGGAGCAGAAGGAAGAAATAGAGAAGAGTGAAATGTGAGTCCCATACAGGTCAAAGGAACAGACAAAACAGATGGCTAAAGATAAACAAGTAGCCACAAAGAAACCATCCTCATGAGCAAGATCTGGGCCCAAGAAGATGTGAACTGGCAGGGTGATAGCTCCCTGTTTGGCTGCAGTAGTCATCCATTCTGTAGGGTCAGCATCCCTGTCATGCCAGGCCTATGAAGTCTCTGTGGGTATTATGAGATAATCTTTCATCTAAGAATGGAGCAGTGAATGGGTGGATTTGATAATGGAATTAAGGCCAAACTTATATGCAGATGTATTAGAATTTGCTGAGCCTGTGTAATTTTGGAGTACCAGGAAGGTTTACCATGGTTCCTCTATTCCTTAAACACCTCCCCTAGTTAGAAAAGGTCACTGAAGTCGTATAATAGAACTGGTTCTTTTTGTTTATGGCTATCACTTCAAAATCATACCGAAGAATTTAAAAGAATAATCCTTGAAATACTAGTTTTTAATTATACCTCAATATGAATGGGCCTGATATCCTGAGAAGAAATATAGGTAAGAAGAGAGTGTGTATAGAAATGTGGTGGCTGAGCGAAGTGCGTAGCCAGGGACACTCGGGAGGGAAAGGCAATGCAGAGACCAGAGGACTTTTGTGATGTCTACAGAGCTCACTTGGTAAGTTTCCTCTCCTGATTCTGGGCAGATGTTCCACTTCCTTTTGCACTTGCTGAGCAGGTGGGCAGGGTTACTATGTTATTTCAAAGGATTTGAGGCTCAAACTTTAGAAATGGAATGGCCACAGGGTTGCTTCACTAACAATGTCCCAAAGTGGAATGTGGAAAGGGCCATCCAATCACAGCACACTACTGGAAGTTGGACAGCAGATTAGGAAAATTCTGCTAAGAAGTAAGAGCTGGGACTATCCAGACTCCACTCCAGTGGCCACCAAAGGCCTTTTTAGCTCTAGCTATAAAGGACTGGAAGCATCTACACTACCTACTGTGTTATCAGTAGTACAGCAGGCAAGCAACTTTTCATCCCTAATAAGATAGGAAGACAGGCTCTTGGGACAGACACAAAGATCAAGAGTCAGCCACACTTAGAAGACATCTTTGAGGAATAGACGTTGCCTAGGAAAGCCTCAGTACCAGTGATAAAGCTACTTAACATAAGAAAAATACAAACAACAACAGCAATAACACACACACATACACACACACACACACATACACACGCATACAAAAACAAGTTAAAATTTAAAAACTAGAAAATGACAAGATAGAATCAAAAGGCAACTCCAGACTTCCAGGCCACCCAGGACAAATCCAGAGGGAAACAAAATAGAAGAAATTGGGGCAGAGCAAAGATGATGGATAGATAGCAGCAGGCTACAGAGGCTCCCTGAGATAGTCAACTTAGAATTCAACATAATACAGTGTGGGGAGTCCTGAACAGAGGGAGATGAATTCTCTCATCCCAAGAAGAAATTAAGGTGAGAAGAACCAACCAAATATACAGTCCTGGTGCTATTATTGGAACAGATAAAGGTTCAGTGTTCCCACCACAGTGGGCGACTTGCTGACCATCCAAGGTCCCACCGCGACTTGCCGAACCTTCTGAGGTCACCACCACTTTGACTCACTGGAGATGCAGTCACGCTTAGGTTGGGGGTCAGCCAGCCAAACAGAGAGCTGAGATAGCAGGGAGCCTGCATGGACCTGTGGTGAGTGACAGGAATAGAGCCATTCAACAGAAAGGGGGCCTCCAGTGGATGACATTCTGGGACCGGGCACGACTGGCAAGTACAAGGGGCAACAGTGACTTCAGTCAGTTGTTCCCTTCCTGAATGGGACTGGTAGAGTGAGCTAGACCTGGGTCATGTGACCTGGCTGAGACTTAATAGATTCTCTGAAATCAATTCCTTAAAGTGGTGGCACACGGTTCCGGGAGAATATGGCAGACAGACAACAGCAACTACCGGAGGCTCTCTGAAAGGCTCGGCTCAGAGGCCAGGAATGATGCGGACTAAGGAGACATGAACCGGTAGAGATATGCTCTGTTGACTCAGGAACAAACTGGGCTGAGAGAAACCAACTTAGAATACAGTCCTGGCGCTAAAATAGGAACAGAAAAGACTCGGTGTGGAGGCTCGGCCCCGCGCCATTGGAAACCGCGATTTGGGTTTCCCGCCGCTCGGCGGCTGGCTGCCTCCACAGCGGCTCGGCAAGGAGAGACGCGCAGAAGCTCTGGGAACGGGAGGCTGCGAACGGAGTTGAAAACAGGACGGACAAGGAGGCGTACACGACTGGTGGCGAGGTGAGTGAGAGAAACTGACCCCCTACCACAGTTTGACTCCAGCGGAGGACTTTCTGGGCTCAGGCAGTCCTGTAAGAGCAGGGCGCGGTGGCGACTCCAGCCACACATTCCCCTCTCGGACGGGATTGGTGAAAAGTGCCTGGCCTGAGTGACGCTGCTGGCGGACTCCCTAGGCTGGCCTAACCCAGATCCCAGAGCCTGACGGTGGCCCGGAGGAGCGACTGACTCCCGCGTAGGCTGCCTCCTCCGCAACTCCCTGGTGCGCAGCGGTGGGCGGGAACATCTAGCCAGCGCAATTTGATTAGGCTGCGGCTGACAGGCAGGGAAGCCGGGCCTCCTATGTAAGCTTGCATTTTATAAGGAACAGAAAATATGGGGAAGGGAAGCAACAAGAAAGGCTCCTCGGCCCCCAATTCTGAGAAACAGGCAATAGTGGACACCGCACCAACATACATTAAGCGCCATATAGAGAGCCTCATAGACCAATTCAGGAATGAAGTTATCAACGACCTGAAGCTAGAAGTATGCAGAATAGTTAGAGAAATGCTAAGCACCACCCAGGAAAAAACAGATGGTGGAATGGAAGAACAGAAAAAGAGGGGAGAATTGCTTGATGGAGAAAACACAGAAAGCATTGAGTATGTGAAGCAGGTTCAAAGGGACTATCAAGAAATTAATAAGTCTATCCAAGACTGGCATAACAGCTTGAAAGAAACTAAGGACAGACTATCTGATCTAGAGGGCACACTTGTAATATGGGAGAATGAAATGAAAAACTTCTTAAAAATAACAAAGAAACAAACAGCAATAATACAAAGACAAGAAGATGATAAGAGGAGCCATAACTTAAGGATTAAGAACATAAAAGAAGAAGTAGGGACACAAACAAGTGAACTACAAAAGCTACTCACAGAAATAATCCAGGAGAATTTTCCTAATTTAGCAAAAGGTAAAGATACTCAGATGTATGAGGCATACAGGACCCCAGCTACCTACAACCCTAACAGAGAAACACCCAGGCATATAATAATAAAAATTCCAGAAATTCAATACAAGAACAGAATATTAAAAGCTGTAAGAGACAAGAAACAGACCACTTACAAGGGAACATCCACCAGAATTACAGCAGATTTCTCTGCACAAACCATCAAATCACGAAGAGCATGGGGGGAAATAATTCAAGCTTTGAAAGATAATAATCTCCAGCCAAGATTGAGATATCCTGCACAACTGTCCCTGGAAATTGATGGAAAAACGAGGTGCTTCCAGGATAAAGAGGAACTGGGGGAATTTGCAACCACTAATTCAACCCTACAGAAAGTATTGCAGGATATTCTAAAAAAAGAAAAATACAAAGAACCCAGAAATAGTGGCGGGGTGGCCACAACGAATGGAGCAGAGAACAAAATGAAGAAGACAAACTGACAGCTACTGACAGAAAAAGAGCTCAACAGAAATGAGACAGAGAAGATTGGATGATAGGAACAGCTTTTTTTGGAGAAAATGACATCTTAATAGGTAATACTGATTTAGTACCATCTTGTTTTGAAGTCTCATCTAGCTTTTGTTCTTCTGTCTCCAATGGTCTAAACAGGTTGTATCTTATTGGATTTTATTATGTTCGATAGTATAAGCAAAAACCTTTTAAAGACAAGGAGATTATACAGAAACCATTGTTCATTTTCTGTTAGTCAATTCTAAATACTCTATAATGCTGTCATTCTCTTAAATGGTTTTACATTGTTTTGATATACTTAATGCTACAATATACGAAGTTGTACTCAAGGACTTCAAGGAAAGAGTCAATATGGTAACTACTTTTGGGTTGGAATTATCTGGTGGTGAAACACTATTCTGCTTAAATGGTTATGTTTTGATCTGCCCTGTTTTGCTGTTATGCCCTCTTTTTTCTCAATCTCTGTCGGGGTCGCTCCCGGCCGGCAGGAAAGACACACGACAAAGTCTGGCGGTGTGCAACCTTGCCTTTATTTGTCTCCGCGTGGGCCCCGCGAGGCCTCCTCTCTGCCACCAGCCCTTTCTCGCCGGTGGACTTTTTCTATCTCTCTCTGTGCTTTCTCTGTGCTTCTCTCGTGGCGGGAGAGGCATTCACTTTTATAGGGCAACAGTAGCCAATCAGTTTAAAGCGCGCGATGCGGGCTGACTGGCTAACATCAGCTGTTGCTAGGCAGACTATCTTACAGAGCGGGTTGTTTAAGTCGCCAGCGCAATCAGGGGGCAGGAAGCAGGCGCCAACTTGACTCACTCGATGGGAGGGGCAATCTAGCTCAGGCTCCGCTCCCACCCACAGGCCCTACGTCCGCCAAGTAAGGCGACCGGTGTCGGCGGCTCCCAACAAATCTCCACTCCATTATTTACTTTTTTATTTTTATCCGTTTAATTAAAGGGAAAAAATAGCAGGATATAATATAGTAACCCACTTTGACTTTCTATTATCTCGATTTGAAGCCCTGTATTACTCTCACCATCTTGTTTTTGAGTGATGTTCCCCTATTCTGTTTTGCTGGATAGTATC